CGAGCATCCGGCAAGGCATGTCAAGTTTCGGCTTTTGATCCACAACATACCACTGATCATTAAATAATCTGCTTGCACGCCTTTGTGTACAACGACGAAGTGTGGTCTATGTGGTGGCTATGTGAATGTATGCTTCGTATGTAAGGAAGTATCATTGTGTTTTCCAGATGGCCCATGGAGATATCAGCAAACACAGGCCTAAATGGACTTTCCATCTGTCGGTATATAATGCCGTTAAAATTACTGGACAACCTTCATACACGAGCGCAGTAATGACTTCAGGTGCTGAGCTGGAAACCCAACTTTGCGTCTTGATTCTCATCTAAGCGATCACTGAATAATGAACACAAATCAAACGAGAACACATGTTTCCTTTCTGCTTCCAAAACAGATTCAATTGACAAATTCGAAGGTATCTTTGAGGCTGTATCTGGTCAGTTCACGCCGAATAGGTTAACTAAGTTCGATTAACCATCGTCCGAACTACTGCTCCGGTGCGCCGGGTATTGAAACGATTGGACGCAGGAGTACGTCTTCCTTATGAGAATTCGATAGCTGTACATATGGGGAAGCCAAGACCTACGAAGGCGAAGCTGTGTCCCGGTTTTCATGTCAAGCAGTCCACTTTTCATCAGCCTTTTTAACTCGCGAATTAGCAATTTCTCCACCTTTTCGGTTCTATCTCGACCTGTTGCATCGCAAACGAAGCGATTAGTATCAGCTAGAACTGTGTGCAGTTTTCGGACCTAATCGTCTTTCTCCAGTATAACTACTCCTGTTTCGTTAGCCGGTCTCAGTAGTACCAACTGCGCAATTCGTCGTAATTCCGTTAAGGACTCCCAGCGGTGTTTGGTAAAATTCAAACCTTTCCGTTTCGGTAACAAAACTTGGTTGGTCAGCTCCATTGCCTTAGCCTTAAACCAACCGATTGCGTCATTAGTGGTACCGGAGTGGATAATTGCTCATATGGGTTTACAAACTGAGCTTCTGCCACATGTATTCGTTGGCACAGCTGGTACAGCGATAGCGTCTCAAGTTGTGATAGCGAGTACTTCGGCCGAACTGTGTGGAAACTGTCTACAAGAATTTCAAAGGATATTCCGCGAAACCTAATCGCGAATGATACGAAGCTGTTGCCAGTTCGATCCTCCGACACATTCTTGACTGCTCCATGTGTGAAAACCCTCGTGAATCATCTAGACTAATCAATCGACGGTGCGTCGCTTACCTGCTTCGGTTCTCTGAGGCCTCAGCAATTAGGCGGCTGAAACTTACTTGATGTAAACAGGCCGAGTTTCTCTCCAGTTCCCCGTGCCTTGATGAGACTGGTGCTCACGTTCCTTCAAGCGGAATGTTGTTCAGCATCAGAGGAACTTTGACAGTGTTCGGTTCACCAATGATGTCACACCTTGAGTCTGTGCATGCAACCTCACTGCTCCACCAACTGGATGTAAGCGGATGACGACAATACCCGAAATAGTTAAATTTAAGTTATCCTGTTGGAATGTTGTTCATTCTAGCCATTCTGAAATTCGTGAAGAAAAAGTCTTGTATGAAACAAGTAGTTCCGTCTGCCCCTTGGATTATTACACGCTGATTGGTTCGGAATTGGTTACACTGGAACGAGTTTGTTCGACTGATTCCAAGGATAAATCTCATGAATGCTGTAGCGTCGTTGGTTATTGAAGTGACCCGGCTACTTACTTGAGGTTTCTACATGCTTGTTCTGCTGAATTCACCGTTTGTCCCCGAAAGACCGAGGTATGTGCAAATATCTACCTTTTAGCTAGCTAAGAAAGCAGTGAAAATAGTAACTATGAGGGCCAAATGAAGTAATAACTCAGTATGTTATAGTTCCTTGCCCTTAGCAGAGTAAATTCATGAATGATCTAATCCCACTACTCCCGACGATGTACTCCTAATAGATCGTGGTCAATCTGACAACGGGAACTTGAGGCTGACAATACTGTTGACGCAGTGACATGGTGGCCGCCAAACTGTGAGTATTTGGAAGATACTGCACATATTTCTCAGTTGGTGGGACACTTAGTTGTGGCTAATATGTTTCCTATGTATACATACTATTTTTGAGTACGCTCTGAACTTACAAATTACTCCCTGGTTTTTTGAGCCCGGCAAGTTCAGATCTGAATCAAGTCTGGTGACCTAGACGTTTGTCTAACTTAACATGAAAGTTGAAGTTCCGGCAAGGAGCACTTTATGGGCACTTGATATCCTATTTCTAGCCCTAAGAGCACGTTTAAATGATACTCCGCATCCTAGCGTAAACACTGTAGTATCGTAGTTACTATACTCTCGTATGTTTGCTCGCAGTTCATCTGATTCTCTGCTGTTCGAGTTTGTCTCCCAGAGAGAAGACCAGAAAGCGGTGACCTACATGCAAACAACTGTTTTCAATTCCTCCTTCTTCAGGCGTATACGGTAATAAGCGTGGGTACATTGGTATACCAACAAATCAGTTGAAACAACTGCTACTCAGATGCACCTTTGATGTGCAATTTCAATTCGAGAACGGGCTGTACAGACAATTCGAAGGTGTGGCAAAGGGATCACCAGTTGGCCCGGTGCTAGCGGACATGTACATGGGAAAGATGGAGGATGGTCCATTAAGACCAACCATCCCTGGTTTAAAGTACTAGCGACGATATGTCAATGATATATTCTACCTGAGCGACCGGGGAACCAATTTGTATGACTTAACCGATGGTCTCAACAAAGCCAATTACAATGCTGTTTTCACAGCTGAAGTGGAAAAGAATGATTAGATGAATTTCTTGAATGTGAGTTTGAATAGACTAAGTGACGGGTCGATCCAGATGAAATTATAGAGTAAGCCATACTGGACAGGCCAGTACACGAAATCTCATAGCTTCGTTCGGTTAAGCCGCAAGAGGGCAGTGGTGTGCACCTTTACTTACCGCACATAGAAAATCTGCAGTGACGACAAATTGTAGAATTAGGTAAGAGAACCAAAGGAGCACTGCTTGAGAACGGATATCCGGCGCGCTTCATCGACACCCACATGAAGCAGAGGAGGCACAAAGTACGCACGCAGGCGGTCGTAAAGAAGCAACTGTTTCTGACTTTACCTTTCAGAGGAAACAATGCGGCGAACATCCGCACGAGAAGACTGTTACAAAGCTGCAAAGAGACTGTTAATATAGCCCAAACCACTAAGTGTTCCGAGATTCCAAGACCGAGAGCCAGATCATCTCCAATCGATGGTAATTTACCGGTTCACCGGTTCCTGTGGGTCCAGGTCATCATTATCATCATCATTCTACACGTTAGCTGGAGGTATAAAACATCTCAGTTATTGTGCCGCAACACATAATATAAAAAATCATTGCAACAGTTGCATGACAGCTGAGCTACCAGAAAGGTTGGACGTACGACCAGGCACTTTGGTCAGGGAATTAAGGAATATATTCCGAGTTGGCTAAGCAAATACAAACATAGACCATCTTGCAGCTCAATAACAGAGCACCTACTCAACATCGGTCATGGCATAAACAAACAAACGGGTTTTCAAGATCCTGTACAAACTACCAACAACCTACAACTATGGACTGAGAGCGAGACTGTTTGCTACCTCGAAGGCGGTATGCATACGGTTAACAAAAGCCAACCTGTACATGCGAACGAAAATGGTACAGACGTCAAAACTGCCATGGTCAACCGCCGGAGATGGTAGATGCGGACTCAGCTAGCAAACTCGAAGAGTCATCACTCACGTGCTCAGTTATTTGGCACTTTGATCACCTTACATGAGCAAGCAATTGTTTTTTCCTTTTTTACACTAACGAATGAAGCCAAACGTTGTGCTCACATTTATTGGTGTGTACTCCTGAAGAAGAAGTAATTGAAAACAAATGTTTGCGTGTAGCTCCATGCTTTCAGCGATTCTTTCTGGGATACGATAATTGGGCATCTTACATGACTATTCGATTCTGACAGCTACGAGGCTGAGATCGCTGCTCCTAACTAATGGCAGCAGTAGATTAGTGGTGACGAAAGGAACCGTCTTGTAAAGAGTAAAATGATATTGCTCTTATACTGCTGTACCACCATGCTTACCTGAATGAATCACACAAGTATCACGCATAAATTTCGCTTTCTTCACAGTGTTTTTCCCGCACCAAACATGATTTCGAATGGTTACACCAGGGTAGTTCTAATTATCGCGCCTAGGCTAAAGACATTTATGTGTAGTTAGTTCATATGACGATTTACACCTTAATAAGAACACCCACTTTTGTAGCCAGAAAGTAGAAGGAATCAACAGCGCCAATGTCAAGCGTGTGTAACCTCCGATAGTGGTTATGGTACTGTCTATTCTATCCATGCTGCAAAATAAGGTATTTACAATACTACGACAACAGTAGCATTTAAATGCTGCTAGCGGTTGGAACAGACGCAATCTCCTCGACTTCTAACTGGAGTAATGAACTAAATGAGAGCAAATCTCCGTTAGTCGCTAAACGTATCTTTACCCATCTCCCCCCTCTCAAGTTGACTTTCATGGTTGTGTACTAAGCGCCTGTGTGACGACAGACAGCTCACTGGCTTTGATATTTGCGCGTTAGCAAATGGATGTTCGGTTTCAAAGAAAGTCGCTCTAGAAATACCGTGGGGCTATAACACGGAGTTGCGTCGATTACAAAAGTGTTTATATTTGTCCTCATTTCCTTGATGAGTAGATTTCCACTGAGCAATTAGACGAATTCGTAGCTACTTTAGTTAAGTTGCCTTGTTATTTGCAACAATGAACAAACTTTTACCTTTCAAATTTAGCGTTCGTGCAGTCCACATTTTCAACAGGTAAAGAGTGCATACTCCGCTTAGCCTCACATAAATTAGGTCTTGCCCACTAGGCTAACAGTAAAATGAAAAAGTTCGCTGTGATCTAAAGTTGCTTGTTAGGCGTTCCAATTATGATGAACAAGTTATGCGATCCGAATGTTACAGCATCTCAAACGTCAGTTGCTTCTCTTGCCTCGAACGCCTTTCTTTGGTGTACATGTCTCATACTGAGGCATTGTTTTGTGACCGAACTTGCTGCCGTTGTTTTTTCGTCTCTTCAACTTCTTCCGCGTTTTGGTATCCTGCGAAGTAGTCTGAAAATGGACAATATGATGGCATAGCTTTTGATTAAGACTATAGAGGCAGCGCAGAATCTCCAAAGCTGCGTTAGCCAAATCATAATTGGCAGATGGTGGATTGCCTAACTCGTAACGAATGCACTGTCACATTGCTATTGTGACACATGATTTAAGGTGTGGCCGCTAAATTTAACATGTAAGCAGTGTCTACTTGCAAAAATAACCGGTGTCAGTGTCCTGTAGCTAAATTACATTCGTTGTGCATCATTTCAGTGTCGCGAAACGGCTGTGGCACATAATACATCGACGTTTGCCATTACTTATGCTTCATTAACCTGTAAGTTTTGCAGAGATCCTTAGAATAAATGTAGTAAAGGAATTCTCAAAAGATATGATCGCGCTACTACTCAGCATCATTTTCAATTCCTGTCTACAGATGCAATTGTAACTACGCAACCTTTATGCAGAAATCTGACAAACACACTGACTGTTTATATTGTATTTTCTTCCGGTCAACGGAGTGTATCATCAGATCATCTTTTATGCTGGTAAAGTGAGGTGTAGAAATAACGTCCCTCAGATTTGCTAGCAGGCACAGGCACAACGGTTTCAACAGCACGCCGGCACACCGTACCAAAGCCCCACTGCCATGCGATCACCACCTGTCGTATGTGGGCGGGAGGCACTGCGACAATGGCAGCCGCTACGCAAATTCGAAAGGGCGACCTTCGAATTACAGAACAGGTGCCTTCCTCCCTGCCACCGGTCGGGATTTCAAGAGGGACATTCAGAGACCCGCTATACTGTGCTGTCGATGTTCATGCAGCCATTTCCATCAGAAGCTTAAGCAATCTAGTTTGTGACAAGGGGAATTTGTGGGGGTTTTGTTTTGTGGTATTTTGCATGCACAAGTGACGAGATAGCTGAGTAACCGTTAAAAAATACTAGCTCCCTCTGCTAAGTTGCCACCATGATAAATCAGATGAGCGCCCAACACTGAAACCGGGAAGGACTAATGACATCAGCGGAAACATCGGATGAACGGAGGTTACAAGTTAGAGGCCGAAAAGCAGGCCAGAGAAAATGAAGATAGTTATTCCTCTATAAGTAACAGCAATGGATTTAGACAGCCCTGAATCTGTTGAATTACACTCTCAGTAAACCGGTGATGTCTATGAAAATCATATGGTGTCAAGGAAATTTATGGCCAAATACGCATTACTAGTGATGCTAGGTGAGCTAGGTCATAAAGAACTTAACCGCGACACACAAAGGGGATTGTGTGAAACTGAATGTCTGCGCCTGTTCTCTCGCACAAATATGTAATAGCTCCTATATCTCCTGCTAACTATCTAGATCAGCATCACGGGGCGAACAGACACGCAGTAGATGGAATAATTACAGTAGACATAATAACCACAGAAGTAATATTTAATGCCCAGTTTACAAATTTCAGCAGCGCATGCCTTTAGAAGGGGCCTTTGTGGTTCCGAGGGAAAAGAGTATGCTTTCGCTGTCATTGACCTTTATTGCAGTATGGTACACAACTACACTGCCCGCGCCAAACACTTCTAAAGCGTACCACCCTGAAATGTAACTGAACAAATTTGAGATGGGACATGGTAACTAAATTAGTTGTCCCGGTGCATGTGAGATACATTTTTTCGCTGTGCAGGGAAGAGACATAATTTGGAAATGTTTGGAGCAGTCAGTGAAACGTTAAAAACTTGGATAGACGCTCGGCTGCCTTTTGTTCATTCACGGCTGTTCCGCAGGTTTCACTCTCTGAACGAGACAATGAGGCAATACGTCGATTTAGTTCCCTAAAATTGTTAGTCCCCGTCTAAAACAGCGGCTACGCCACAGCGTGTTTGCACTAGTTGAAGGAATGAGTTCCGTCCTATATACGTATAATTCTGCTTCGTATTCGCATCAAAAACCGGTACCTCTTATTGCGTGCAGCTACTGCCCTCGTTAGCTTCTACTTGAGGTCTACATTTCTACTATGGCTGAGGACAGCCGAATTATGTCATACAAATAAATTACTATTGAACCTATTGTTTGCACATGTCTATTCATCCAACAGAGGCAACCACATCCTCGATTTATTCCTTACACTAGACCTATCCAATGTCATTGCAGCTTTTTTGGACCAATTCCCTGGCAGCGACCACAAGGAGGTCCAACTCTCCTTCCAGAAACAATTTTCTGATCCCACCCGAAATAAACCTGCAGTCCACTATAGACCACTCAATTCCATACATGCGGGCTCGTTTTTCGCCCTTCTGAGATTTTTGCAATGAGAAAATTGCTTCCTGAGGAATGATCCGAAAGTGGATGCCGATGAGTTCTACAAGAATATAGAAATTTGTCTAGAAGCTCTAATACCAATGAAGCATCGGAGTCTTCTCAGTAAAACAAAATCAGTCGCCACCCCCTGAAAATTTTACATGCAAAGTCACAAGGCTACGAAATTCCTAGCTGAAAACGAATGGCTTCTCCCTAGTATTGCAATAGTAAAGAGGCATCGGCGAACTTGAAAGACTTCGGCTTATCAGGGGAATAAATGCTGAAAAACACGCGCTATATAGTCATAATAAAAACCTTGAATTCATCAAACTGATGAAAAGTAGAGACAAGAGTACGGAAACCCCAACCATCTTGATTCATGGTAACCAAATGACTAGCAATCACACTATAATAAGCAGCGGTTTTGATAACTAATTGTGTTCTACAGTTAACGCCACTGCTATGGTTACTTCGGGAATCCTCCCTCTGCTTACTGAGGACAAACTCTCCACAGTTGCCTTTGAACTCCGTGATATAAATCGACTTATTTTCTCTACTTAATTTTCATGATATGCTGGACCTGACAATTGATAAAAATGCGGTGGATCCGACATCCATGTACTAGTACTGAATCTTTTTTTTATCTATTCATGAAAGCCAGTACTATGTCATCCCAATAGAAAACGGCTGTAGTCATTCATCGATACAAGTCAGGCTCTGCGCATGAAACGAGCAACTACAGCCCAGTAAGCCATACTTTCTAAAATGATGCAGCGTCACATAAAGGCCAAAACTGTTGACTTCGTGATGACGCGAAGTCTTATCAACACCTCACAACACGGTTTTCTAAGTGCGCGACCCTGCATCACATGTCAGATCGACTTACTCAATCTCCTGACTGGATGGCGGTTCATCAGCAATGGTCATCTACCTCGATAGGCGCAAGGCATTTGATCGTGTCCCGCATAACTATCTCTTATTCAAAATGACTGACCATGGCATGGGCAACCCTCTGCTTTCATGATTTGATTCTTACCTCACAAACAGAACCTAGCTTTTTCAGGTTCGACAAGAAAGAAGCACGCCAAAGTCTGTCACCAGTGACGTGATACAAGGTGGTGTTCTGGGACCCTTTTTATTCCTACTATATGTAAACGATTGAAGACGGATAGCTCAGGTATTTCACATGGCGCTTGAACTGTTCTTTGAGCTTGGAAATTTTGTTGCAGCTTTCGTCACTAATGGAGGTGACATCATCAGTGTGTAGTTGAGGGGTGTGCAGTAGCGCAGAGTAGCGTACAGGAGTCTCCAGGCAAAGGAGCCTCTTTGCCAAGGAAGCTCCAAGCCAAGCTCAGAGAACAGTTCAACCGCCATATAAACGATATTTTGACATCCTTTCTTCCGGCAAACTTTTCCTTTTTGCCAATGACTTAACAATTGTTTTCACTTTTAATCCAACAGAGGTAACTATTATGCTAAGCGAAATCCAGCATGACTTAAGTGCGCTTGACTCATGGAGCCCCAAATGGCTGATGACCTCTGCTGATAAATGCCACGTAGTATCCTACAGATGTGACATTATACCAGGTTCGTTTACTATTCAGGGTACACCATTGTTGCAGTGCGACACTATTCGTGACCTAGGGGTCCACTACTCAAACACCTTTAACTTTTCCGAACACGCCGCAAATACTGTAGCTCAAGCCCGTCGGAGCATTTGGCTTCTGTTAAAACATTCAACCTGAAAAAAATCAATTAATACTACGTATAAAATAAACAAACACGTCCATTGTATGGTTATGGCTCCATCATCTACTGTACTTCTAGAGTGAGTGATCGTATGGCATCGGAAGTTGTACAACGATCAGGTACTAAGCGCCAACTAGGCATTTTCATCACCCTTTGTTTTATGGATCGTTGCATTGCTTTAAAACTTGGTCCAATGTAACTGCGAAGAATGAAAGTTAACCTTTTTCTCTTCTTTAATACACTTATCTAAAAAGTTCACTCCTCATACCCAACAGTACAACGGGCATAATCGTCAATGTATCGCACTCGAAATAATAACAAAAACAAAGTAAAAGTGAAGAGAGCACGGACAACACTGTCCGACAAATGTTTCCTTAACCGATACTCCATACTGTGGAACAGGCTTCCATCTGAGATACGTGAAATCCAGTCAGGGATAAAGTTCCCATACGCTATACATTCGTTTCTAAGAGTAGAAACAGCGGTTGGTTTACCGCAAACTATCATGACAAATGAATCCCCGTAGGAAATGGGTGCAAGATGGATATAGCCTCAATACCTGGGTACTTTTTCTTTTTGTTGTTACCAGACACTTCTACCCTCCCTATGTCTGCCAGTAGATAAAAGCTATTTTCTAAAGAAAAATACATACTGATTACCATGAAGTTTACACTTATCAAAGCGGAAACATGTCCTAGAGTTCCTCTTTAGCAACCTGCTTCACATTCGTTCTACAATACTAATCATTTTCTACTTTTACCTAGATCCCAAGTCCTAGGCACGTGAAGCAGTTCTCCTTGCTCGGCGAAAACAAATATATATATATATATATATATATATATATATTATCTCTGATTTTGACTGGATTCATCTGAGGGCCGTATCAGAAAACCTACCAGGATCATCGATGTGTACGACCACTCTGAATACTTACTTCCATTAAAATCAGCTCGTCCTCTTACCGAATGCAGCCAAACTGTCGGAACAGTAAACTTGATCTACACTGTTTACACTGTTCTCTATCTCCCTGGAAAAAATATTTTGTGCACCTACGGCATTTCTCAGGGCCATAACAATTGATTTCACATCACCAAGCTCTCAAATTGGATCTCCTACAACTGTTGCAGCCATCACAATTATTTCCTCTGAAAATTCCTTTCGAAAAAAGTACATTTCTGAGGGTTTATGTCTCCAGTGAAACTTTGTAAAATCTGTATCGGACAACTTCGTACAAAGCCCATCATCTCCTCACTACTGTTCCTCCATTTTTTACTGTTTGTGTATTTCTTTCCTACCACTGTTTGCGACGACTGAACCGATCCCACAAGGTGATGGATAAATGCTTCTAAAATTGCAGTACACTCACGAAATGTGAGTGGTTACGAACTCAATGGCAAATATCAAAAGTGCTAGACTCGAATTAGATAAGTGATGGCCGTGTAATGGGGAGAGCTTAACATATTACACAGGCCCCCACCTAAATTCATACCTATATATATATATGTATATTGTGTCACCAAGATAATGAAAAAGTTGTATATGACAACTTCTAACAAGCAAAAAACGAGTCAAAAAATACATTGGCTACTTGAATTAAGCTACAACAGCATATGGCCAGATGAGATGTGTAAGTGATGTGTGGAAGCAGCTCACTGGAAGACGGTTCTATTAATGATCATATTACTTTACTTAACCTGACGTTTATAACTTTTATTCCTACTATCAACTTCTCCAAATTTTACTACTCTTAAATGATTGAGTACCTGAAACACTTTCATGAGAACACGATTGATCTTGGAAAATCTCTCCACTATCTAACTTTGTTGTACCAATTGATCAGGCTGGTATTTTGCCAGTGTCTCGCATGTCGAGAAATATATTATGTATTTATTTCTTTATTTATAAGGCTAGCTCGAAAAGTCTGTAAAAGACCAAATAAAACCTGCTTCCAGAATATGTGCCGGAATATTTTGTCCATTTGGCAAACTGAGGATGTATTCAATAGCTCAAGGACCGATAATAAACGGATAGAGCGCCGGAAATTTGTAGCAATTTTATTTAAGTAGATTACATAGCTGAAACCACAATGCATTTCATGGGACATTGGGCACTCCCCCCCCCCCCAATAAATCATCTGTTGTGGGAAGCTTCCACTGAAAATATATCGCTGTCTAGATAGTGTGATCGAACGTCTTTAAGAATTTCTCAGAAATTGAAAAACAGGTGGAGATTTTAGGACAACTGAGTTTGACAGCAATCTAAAAACTAAATTCGCTAGTGTCAAAAATGCGCGATAAAGCCAATTGGAGCTATCAACTTTTGCTGTAAAGCAGCAGGGGAACTAACGTTAACACTCCCCAATCTGATGAGACCCAAAGATAACGAGCAGTGTATTACTTCGATCTCACCTCACGGGGGAAAAATGTAAGCGGTAGCTCCGTCAAATGAGCGACCAACGCGGTTGCTTCGTCTTGCGATTTTTTAAGTTGTGCCTCTACTTTTTCGCGCTGCAGTCTTTCGTGTTCCAGTTGCGATTTACATGATTCCAGTTCACTGGAACACAAGAGAAACGGTAGACTGGGTTTGTCGTTTGTTATTAGGAATTGCATGCAACAACTGAAGCGGATAAAATAAACCACTGTTCAATCTACGGGAGTTTAGGCATGCGAACATGACCTACCAGTCAACTTAATGTTGACTAAACTAGCTGTTCAAAGAGCCAACTGCGATTGAGTTCATTCACCCACCATTCCGTATTACAAGAAATTAGCCGAGTCTATATCATCGCCTAAATAGAAAAACACATAGTGCATCATAAACTCGTTGAGTTATAGTCACAAAGCATATTGATAAGGAGGAGCATTTGTATAAGGCAACTGTAGGGCAATTACCGCAAAATTACTGATCTAACAGCAATAGGAATGGATGACTGCTGCCATTAAATGGCACTCACCCGGTTGCATATTTACTGAAACCCATCCTCAAATAAGCTAGAAAGGTTGTTTGGGTTCTTATTCATGTGACAGATACATCCCACAACTCCGTTTACATTGCATAGCCGGAACTCAAATGACCCATTTGAGTGAGTAGTGAGGTTTGCTCAAGACGAATATTCCCAAAAATCGATTGGCTCATGCCCTGGGCCCCTATCACTTCGTTGCCTAAACTGTGCAACATTGGAATAAAATAATTAGCCCTACAAATCGGAATAGCATGTTACCAAAACCTGAGGATTCGGGACAAAAGTGAGTAATCTCGATTAAACTTCTTACTTTATTACGGAATCCAACAACTATAACTGTCCCCGTTTTGTCGCGTCGTTTGCATCCAATTTTTACTTACACCACTATTATTCAGCAGCGTATCTGCCAGATAAACGATCAAACAGACAGTTCACCTACCTTCTGATAGTCGTAGCTTTATCCTCACTAACCTACGGGACATGTCAAGCAACTTCTTTTGTACCCGACTAAGTCATTTTTCATTGTTCTTTAAATGATGGAGACACGGGGTCCAGTGATTGTTGGCTTTTGTTATTATTACTTAGTTGCCGAAGTTACCCTACCAACAGCGATACCTTCACCTGTAAATTAGTGCATCGTTTTGTATTTTATCACTACTATATATGTAAGCAGTCAGAGTTAGAGTGAGGGTGAGGTTCGATTAGAAGTCAGCTGTATGCAAGGGATTAGGAAAACAGATACGCTTCTGATCTGCCTTGGCCTAAACAATGCACAACTATCATGCTTATGACCTACGGATTTTTCTGGGTTTGTAGTACCCGCAATACTAAACATGACAATTAAGCATTCAGTTAAGTGTACAGCCGTAAGGTTGTAAAACCCAACACATCAAATCGATAGACGTAAAACGACTTGCTACATTCGACCACCGGTGCTGCCACAGTTTGATTTACATCTGGTGGGCATATCGCGTAGGAAATGAGCGCGCTTGCTGTCTTGTTTATGGTGCTAGGAGAGGAATAGCACTACCTAGTACCATTACTCCACGCACCAGGTTCTGATACCTGGGCTATGTGTTATATATGTGAGCATACCGACGGCTGTCACGTATGTTATTTGCGCGACCGGGGACTGAATAGAGGAAAAGGAGGAGAGACCAACCGGTAACATGAGCAAGAAGAATGGATACCCTCGCTTTGATGTGTTGACCGCGGTTGGTGACTCTAGACTCCCTTCTGGTTTGGGTCCGGAGGATGATGAACACGTTTCGTTGAAGATTTGGAGCTTCGCGATATTTTCTTCCGAGCAGTCTCGCCGCCTAATGGTTTCGAATAGCTTTTCGTCAAAGACACAATATTAGCCTTGTTGTAAATAATTGGGCATATTTTCAGTACATAGTGTTCTGGGTTGCCGAGAGGAGGAAGCATTAAATTAGAAAACAATTGTGAAATTAAAACTCAGCTGTGTCAAGTGTGATCTCGAAAAATACCATATGCTTTAGATCAAGTGTCCTGATGAGTGTCATATCAGTTTTGTTAGTCACCAGCATCCATACCGACAGAGCAATTAGTTTTAGACATTAACGCTGGTGAGCAGCGGTCAGCAAACGTTTTGAGCTCAGTCAATGGTGTGGCGAAGCTATGTAGATATTTCCGGTGACGACAGTACGGATTCCACTTAGAAATTTTGGTGCATAACGGACTAAATGACAGCTAATATTTTGATGCAACTTTTGTAGATGGTACGGTAACTGAGTTACACCATAAGTGGTTGACGAAGATGACAACGCCTTCTCCGCGATTCTGCGGCTTTCCAGGGAGATTGGACCTCACGGCTGGGTATCAATCGAGTTGAATAATCTTATCATCCACATCAGGATGTAACCAAATTGCTTGCACCACTATAATACCTATGTTTGCATAGTCCATACACTGCATAGTGACAATGAGGTCGGAAAATTTACCAAGTGGAGAGCGCACATTGTTAGGGAGAGTTGACAGAATTGACGTCCGAGTTCAGCTTGCCAGCCAGCACGGTGTCTCCTCACTTTATTAAACCCCTGTTTTAAAATTCATTTGATGGTGTTCCTGACTTTGTAACCACATGTGATATAAGTCAAGTTACACGCAGTGTTCTGGAACGATGGTAAAGTCGGCAGAGTGGGATAGCATGGATGACCTTAGACTGATCCATATAAAACCCACGAGAACAGCACGACAAAATTGAGAAACTCACGGTAACTGGCGTAAAAATGGTAATGCACGGCGAAACAACAACAGCCGATTTGGAAGCCTCACAAACATCGGTGCGATTCCCTGACTTTGCCTTGCTGCTTTGGATAAGCTGTTCAGCAAAAGACTCGAAGTGCTTTCCCCTAAGACAACTTCGTACGTCGATTGGGCAACCAGGCAGTACCCAGCCAATAACAAAACCTCAGGTTGTTCAGTGTTGTGTTGAACTTTCTTTTAAGAAAACCTGTTCATCCCACCCCTTTCCATGGTTTTCGAGCAATTAATGTCTATCCGTAGACTGCTGTATATATATATATATATATATATATATATATATATATATATATATATATATATATATATATATATATATACCTTTTGCAGCTAAAAAGCAACTAAAACCCACTGGGCGCGTATAGTCACTAAGCATACCATTGTATGCGACATTCCTATTACTGAAGCGTCAAGAAGGGGAACGGTGGCAAGTAATCGACGCACTCGCTTTGGGTAGTGAGCCACCGCCCACTTATGTTGACCTCCTAAATCGAGCAGTCACAGTAGGGCATAGAGAAGGGACGAGCAACAGATGGCAGCTACTAAAACCAAATAAGAGTACAAAACGTTCATTACGCATCAATAAAGCTCTTACCCCCATTTCACTTCATCGTTTTTCGAAAAGGAAACGGTAGAGGAGTAAAATGTGCTAAAAATTACTATATTTAAGCAGTGCTTATAAATATGATGTGTTGTGCCCCTCCCCTTGAAAATTACGCCCCACAACCGGTTTCATACTGGATTCCACTCCTCTCGTGGACATAGCAGGATTGCGGCTCGTTTCCGGGATAGCAGGGTGTCAGCACTAATTCGCGTTCTGAATCATTCTCACTGAAGAGACACTGCGTCCGCTACATAGTTACTTGTATCCAATCAGACTTACCCGGCAACCGGTAAGCGGCATCTAGTGTGGATACCTAGAGCAAAATTAAATCGTAATATACTAAACGACGTTCCTCGTCTGATACATATAGCTGGATTATACTCCGTTCTTTGTGTAACCGCCGGTTTAGTTAGGTAGTAGTAGTAGTAGTAGTAGTAGTAGTAGTAGTAGTAGTAGTAGTAGTAGTAGTAGTAGTAGTAGTAGTAGTAGTAGTAGTAGTAGTAGTAGTAGTAGTAGTAGTAGTAGTAGTAGTAGTAGTAGTAGTAGTAGTAGTAGTAGTAGTAGTAGTAGTAGTAGTAGTAGTAGTAGTAGTAGTAGTAGTAGTAGTAGTAGTAGTAGTAGTAGTAGTAGTAGTAGTAGTAGTAGTAGTAGTAGTAGTAGTAGTAGTAGTAGTAGTAGTAGTAGTAGTAGCACATTCCGTCTGTTGGCAGACATTGTGCCATCAGAACCATGGCAGAATAAAAAATGGAGAAGATAGAAACATGAAATGCAATAAAATATGGAAAACGTGTTTTTTGGTTAAATACATGCCACTGTAACTTTTTTCTTTCTGATTCGTGAGATTTTATGTGCATTAAGGGGGGGGATAAAATGGCAGAACAACATTGACGTCACTGATGTCTGTTGCGGGCCATGACGTCTAATGTTTCCAACCACTCGGATTCAGCATCTCGTGGTCCCCAACCTGGAGCACGGACTGGTCCGACTGCCGTCAAACTTGAGATTACCTTCTTCATGCTCCTTCTCCACATCATTGGCTGTCCACCGCGGCACATTTGCCAATCGCTCCCTGGGAGTGCAAATAGCGCTCGACGTGGAAGGCGATAGGCTGACATGCGCAAAACGTGCTCGAGCCAACGCCTGTGATGTCGGAGAATAACGTTCTGAAGACTAGCACTACTCACTCTAAGCACTCAGTGTCGCACCTCTGCGTTGCTTACGTGGTGTTGCCACCACACCCGAGTAATCCTACGTAGACAGTGATTGTCGAAGACTGACAGCCGCTTCATGTCTTCCGAGCGAATAGGCCAAGTCTCACAGCGGCACAAGAGTACTGCACGGATGGAAGCATTGTACACCCTGCCCTTGAGCTTGAGACTAACATCACGATGACGCCATAGGTGTCTCAGTTTGATAAATGCAAAGCCATTGCAATCCGTTGTGAGACTTCAACTCCAACATCGGCAACAGCAGTGATGCAAATCCTTAGATAAGTAAAGCAAGGGACTTGCTCCAGAACATGCCCAGTAATGGTGAGCGCGAGTTTAGACATCTGCCAGTTTTGCAGCAGCATTTTACATTTTTCTGGAGTAAGTATAAGCCGTACTTAGACGCCGCTATCGCTAAGCGGTCCAAAGCGCTCTGGACGGTTTGTGGGTCGGCCCCCAGCAAGGCGATATCATCGGCGTAGTCCAAGTCCGTGACTTTGTCTGCAGGCAGGAGCTCAACATCGCAGTTCTGGACACCTTCTAGTGCTCGTTGGACGACATCTTCGATGGCGAAATTGAAGAGGAAAGGTGAAATAGGGCAACCTTAGTGTACACCGCTGGTCACTGCAAACGGAGAAGTGAGTGTGCCGTATGCGGTGACTTTGCCCGACGTGTGACTGTAAAGTTCTTTCAGAATGGTTACAAACTTGTCGGACACATCTTTCTTCGTAAACATTTCCACAACGCAACTCTATCCACTGAATCAAATGCCGCTCGGATGTCCAAAAACACTATGGTTTTTGGCCGCCGGTGGAAGTGACGGAGCTCGAGAAGTTGGTGAAGCATGCAGATTTGATTGATGCAGCCGCGGCGTAGACGAAATCTGGCTTGTTCTTCTCGGGAAAACTCTAATCTGGTCGTTGAAAGCCTGCGACGTAGGACCGATACGAAGATTTTGGATGCGACAGAGGTTAACGAGATTCCGCGGTAGTTACAGCAATCGTCGCGGGAGCCTTTTTTGTGAACCTGAACAATGACCGATTCTCCCCGTGATTTGGGTAACTCCTCCTCAGTCCGAAGTTTTGTGAACATCGATAGGTTTTTGCTGACAAGTACAATCCCGCCATTTTTGAATAGAGCCGGTGGTAGTCTGTCGGGAACCGGGTCCTTGTGGTGTTTCAAAGATTGGATTGCATTTCGGATCTCTGTTTTCGCTGGGGGGTCCGTAGAGACAGGCCAAGCAGCATCCATTGGGGTTGGGAGTGCCAGAGGGGCTGTGTTGGGAGGTTGAATTGAAGAGTGAAATGCTCTGTCCAGCGACCCAATCACCTGTGATAGTTGGTGATCTTCGTGCGTCTGATTCCCAAATCGTCTGCTGATAGCGTGAGAATTGCAACCGGTGGTCCTGCAAAAAGAGGCAACCAGCACGGCGGCATGCTGGAAAGGACATTCGGGAAACATGACCTATCAATCTTCCCAATAATGCACAATTCCTACGTGCGCCCGCATGTTGAATACGCTATCCAAGCCTCGCAACCTTGGTTGAAACGCGACCTAGAGGCGTTGGAAGCACCACAACGTAGAGCAACAACGAATGTAAAGGGCCTGCGCTAGCACTCTTACCATCGCAGACTGAAGTTGCTAGGAATTTTCAGCGGACGCTATCGAAGACTGCGCGGCAATCTCATATTAACTTATCAGATACTGTGTGACCCCAACCACGTATGTCGCCATTTGCGGAAACTTAACCACAACACGCAGCTCAGGGGTAACTGCTTAAAGTTGAAGGAACAATACAGCCGTCCAGAGTGTCGACGGAATTACTTTTCCCTTCGGGTTTGCCAAGCCTGTAACGCACTCCCAGACTCAGTTGTATCCTCACCTACGTTGGATGTTTACAAAAAACGATTAGATGTTGCTGTTAGCTCCCAGCATTTTGTTACCTAAACTTCTCTATTGTAGATTACGCTAAGCATGCTTTTCTACAGGATTGGTGTATCAAATGGAACCAAGCGAGCGACCCTATTTTACGTTTCTCACGCCTTATGTAAACGATCACTACACCCCAGTGTATTGCTGAACGTTAACGCCCGATTTTTTAAATTTTACATTGATTTAAGTTATCAAAGTATTCATCTCGGCAGATGTTCGGTAGATGACCCAGATATATTTTGGTTTCATCATATTCACCTCAACCATCCTAAGGGACGTGTCAAGCACTTGCTTTTATCCCGTGATAAATCATTGTTCACTGTCCATTGAAGATGCAACATAGACGGCGAAAGTTGTCGGCAGATGCGGCAGCTTCCATCTCATCGGTTTATTTTGACCCCCACGATGCATGGTCAGAGAGAAGGCTTGCTTTCAGCTGTTGCATAATAGACCGGCGGTGCTCGTTGTACTCTGCGCCAGCATGCACCGCCCGTCGGCAACCAAGCAATTCCGAGGATCTTCACGAGATCCGGCTTTTGGGATTAGAGTGAGCAAGGTCACAGCGGGACAAACTTGCCGATGGCAAGGCTTGTTGCAGACTTGACTAGTGTAGAGCAACATCCAGAGTGGAAGAGCGAGATTTTCACGAATCCCTTTTTGATACTTCTTCTTCACCATTGGGTCCTCCAAATTGTAGGTGTTCAGTCGGGTGTGTTTGGACATAGGAGAACCACCGAAACGCATGCAAACGGCCGCACATACCAGTGCACGATCGCTATCGACGCACGTTGACCGAAATGATCGGCAGTCGCGTACGTTGCCGCGCCACCTGCGACTTATGGCTATGTGGTCGATCTGTGACCAGCGCTGGGTTCATGATGGAGGCGCCAAGTGGCGTAATGGCGTCCAGAATGACGGAAGCTCGTGCTGGAGAGGAAAAGCTAATGATCAGCACACAGACTGAGCTGTTTCTCTCCGTTGTCTGAGCGAACGTCATCAAATCCATGCGGTCCCCCGAGGTGGCGCGCACATGGCACACGCGTTGAAGTCTCCTGTCAAGACAATGACGCTTGTTTTAGGAGCCCTTAGGAGCAGCTCATGAAGCTTCTGGTAGAACTGGTGTTTGACTGTGTCCGAGGTACAGTCACCAGGCGCGTAGGCAGAAATCACGAAGACAACACGCTTTTCGACTCGTCGTCTGCTAACTTTACAAGAGCCATGGACCGAAAGTTAGTTTATTTCGACCACGCCCAATAGGTTTGATCGTCTCGATTGCGTCCCACTTCTATTCGAAAGGATAACCCGGCACTTATGTGCGTTGACCAATGCGGTTGTATGCAACGTTTCCTTACATTTGCGGCTTAAACATTTGTACTAACCAAGTGGTCACTTTTTACTAATTTGACACCCAGAGTGTGGTAAGGTAAACAGAGGTTATGCTCTATTGACTATATTGCCGAGTGCCGTTATAGATGTTGTGCATGAACACCGGCCACGATGTTGACTGGGAAAATGCTGTCACTTATCATTTAGGTCGTGTTGTCACTTGTCGTTTAGGTCGTGCTGTCACTTGTCATTTTGGTCGTGCTGTAGAAAACGAACGGTTGCCTAACGGTTGACTACTAATGGCATATTGGGCTTGGTCGGCCCCGCCGCAACTTTTCGTAGGGTAACTACCGGTCCAATATCTCCATGGAGTGCGAATCGTCGCTGGGAGAAATGATGTGCACAGTATCGTGACGGCGTTAAACTTAATTGGTTGTTTCATCATGCTTTGGACTGCGGTCCAATTACCGCTCTGCGCAAGCCTTGGACGATTTGTTTCCGCACTTTTACACCGATAGTGTTTGTTCGGAAGCCTCAGGAGTCTACTTCTTCGGGATTACAGCTGACATGGGGAGATAGGATGGAACCGTGTATGATGCGAAGCAGGCCACTCATAATCTCTGTATGAAAGCAGCGACCAGTTTCGGTTGGTAACCAGAGTGAAAGATAAATTTAGAGCCTGAGTTTGCCAGCGTCCACCACTATCCATAATTGTGTCAAGCGAAAGCATCAGGAACGTTATTATCCCAAGTTACAAGAAGCTTATGCTCAGCAGATAGCTACAGAGCCATTTTTGGCCCATATACGTGATACTGGAACTTTAAACATTGGTACTTACCACTGCTCGTCTCGAAATTTCCTTCCCTCTTCCACTCCTTCGGTTGACAGCTCTCCTCCCAGCCGTTTGTAGTCCAAGGTTGCGAGTCTTAACAGCTGTTCAAGCTTCTCAATCTTCCTCCTTGCACGAGCTGAAGGTGTGTGAACGTGAATAGGTACGAATCAACAGAGAAAGAGATATAGTGATTGGTATATTACGAAGACCAGCGCTTATCCACCTTATACGGGTACTAGTATGTCCGTGAAATGCAAAAATATGATCTCTCCTAAGGTCATCTATTCAAAGGACTTTGCTAAACACCTGAATAGGTATCGCAAATTCCATAAGCCCACACCGTTCTATCCCCTAGATATCAACCAGGGCTTTTCCACTGTATTTTCCTCTTCCATTATTTCCATTTAAGATATTATTTTAGTACTGACTCCCCTTTACTTCAGTTTCTTTGAAGATATATCCACCCAACTCCCAGTATCACTCAAACGTTTCCATCGAGTGTTCACCTACGCTATAAGTGGAGGAAACACAGACATCCCCGTAGGGGATTAAGGGGTTAGAAAACACACTATTAGACACAACGCAAATTGCTCATAATTACAGAGATAATTGTCTATTTTCTAAGAGCGAAAAATTAAGACCAACGTATCGCTAGTGATCGCACTGATCATTGGTTGTCAAGCCCACCTCGGTTGTTTGTGCTCACAGACACTGCTACGACACCAAATGAGACGCTTAAATAAATCAAGGGAAGCTACGTGGGCAAAAATATGAATACCCAGCAGTTTACCCGTACACATCCCTTTTGGATCAGCCGCCATTATCTCCTGGGACAATAAAGTGCAAGGTTTTTTGGGGGAACCCCGACTGGTACGCATCGCATCCTGTATGGATGAGCAAATTCTGAGGAGTAAGAAAGCGCTCTTTATTTACGACTAATATTGCTATCCAGTTGATGGACACCATTCACTCAACCTAAGCATAACTAGTGTAGTATGCTTATGGCGATTGAGGTCCGGGCTTACAGGATAGTGTATGGGGCAATGTCGTTGCTATCCCTTATGATAGAGTCAAGGCGATAAGCGTAAGAGAGAGGCCGCAGTATGAAGTCCAGATCTCATTGAGCTAACAGATAGAACTACGAGACAGCCAAATTATACCACTGGCCAAGATTATCTTTGTTTTCCTAAAACGCTAAGTTGACTTATTGGAGGCAACTCAACAATATGAATATGATGCGGAATGATGGCCTTTAGTTAAGTACTTTGTACTCTACTGTGGTATCAATGGTTACGACAGTGTAACCGATATTCTAGTTAGATGTTCCACTAAGCCTTTAGTATCGGCTATGGGAGTCAGAAGATCTACGCGTGAGAAGCGATGTTTAGACATAGGTGTTTAAATGAAGTCGGGACTGGTAAGTCTTTGCTGGATTGCGCCTTGTCCGCAAGGACCTCGATGCCAGCTGATGACACGAGATGGCCAAAGTATGCTACAGAGGACTTGCCTAATTCGCACTTAGTCGGACTGACGGTTACGTCGTGTTGGGTCAACCGCTGAAAGAGGGACTGAAGATGAGATAGATGCTCTTCGTCAGAAAAACTGAACACTAGAATGTCATCGAGTTAGTGGTAGGCGAAATATAGTCCGCGGGTGACATTGTGGATGAAGAGTTGAAAAATATCTGCGATGTTGCACAGTCCAAGCAGCATTCATAAAAATCCGAATAAGCCGAAAGGTGTAATGACGACTGTTTTAGATACGTATTATTCCGCCACAGGTATTTGGTCATAGGCTCTAACAAGATCGATCTTGCCGAAAACCGTCTTACCTGCGAGGCATACGGTGAGGTCCTGCTTATGTCGCACTGGGTATCCGTCGGGAACCATAAGTTTGTTTAGGGCTCGGTAGTCACCTCAGGGGCGCCAGTCTCCAGATTTATTTGGGACTATCTGGAGAGGAGAGGACCAAGGGCTATCAGAAGGGCGGCTATTCCAAATGCAAACGTGTGTTCAAACTTCTCCCTAGAGAGCTCTAGTTTCCTCGGCTGCAGTCGGCGTGGGCTCGATGTGACAAGTGCGCCGTTGGTACGGAAATGGTGCATGACGTGCGATGCCACTGGGACAGATTCGTACATTGGCTAACCGAGCTTGGGGTATTGAGAGAATAGTTGAACATAGTCGGAGGAAGTCTGTGGGCAAACGTAGATTGTGTTGATAGATACAATGCCGGCGTTGCCGAAAGCGACGCTGATCGTCGTTGCGGAGTCGACTATCCTCTGTTGTTTCGCATCGACCACACACGCACACACTATACACGTTAGCTAGAGGTAGGAAACACCTCAGCTACTGTGCCGCAATACATAAAAGAAAAAAGGGAAGAAAATGCTACAGGTGCAAGCCAGCTGAGCTACCGGTAACGGATGGGCATCGTTCCGGTAAGCTATCTGACGGCTACTCTGCAGCAAAAAAAGTAATTTCCTATGAAAAATTAAAAAGGTTATATACTGAGATCGTGGTTGGAGGGGAGGCTAAGTGGGATGGGGTGAGACAAAGAAACTCACAGCACGGACGCTACTGAGGTCGACTCCTAGCCATATCAACAACTGTATTCAGCCGAACGTTTTCATCGTCTTCCGGACCCCAACCAGGGAGCCGAGACTCTCCAACTGAGGCCATCTTCGAAGTGAGGGCCTTTGTTCCTCCCGACCAAGTCAGCCGTTGGCCACCCATGCTCTTCTTCCATCCACACCCCCGGCGCGCAAACAACGCACGTCGCTGGAGTCGGGGGCTGGAAAGCGTAACACGCGGCCGAGCCATCGCAGCCTGGTGTTTGAAATAACGGAGCTGAGCGGTTCCTTTCCTTTTCCTATGCCGTAAACAAGGCGTCGAACACGCTTGTTGCTTACTCGGTGTCCCCAACAGATGTGAACCAAACTGCAAAGGCACCGGTTGTCGGACGTAACTAACCTCTTTACGTACGTTGATCTAAGGGGCCAGATTTCACGACCGTACAGTAGGGTCGAAGGTACCGCTGCATTTTCACTCTACCCTTCAGGGCGAGAGTAAAGTCGCGCCACCGCCATAGGTGGCGAAAACTAGTAAAAGCACTTCGAACTTTTGCTGTACAGTTCTTGATCTCATTTTAAATCCCATTGGTGCTGATACAACTACTCAGGTAGTTGCATTTTTGAACAACTTCTAGCTGATAACCACCAATGGTCAGTGTAGGAGTCGGTCCAGACAAATCTTGGAGGAACACTTTGCAATTCGTGGATGCGAAGCAAAGCCCTAAGTGACAGAAAGTCAGTACTAACCTGCCAGTGACGCTTGACACGTTTGTGAGCTGCCACAGGTAGGGCAACATCATCAGCATAAGTCAAGAAGTCGTTCTCCTGGGAGCAGATCCACACCTTCAAAGTCGTGTCCTGTGAACGCGATTTCCATGACTTCGTCAATCGTGAAGTTGAAGAGGAAAGGTTACAGCGGGCATCCTTTTCTCACACCGCTGGAGATAGTAAAGAGCGATGACAGCTTGTCGTAAGCCCTCACTCTTCCCGAGCTAAGCGCGTATAATGCTCGGATAATATTTACATATTTCTCAGATACACCTTTCCTGACTAGACAGTCCCAAAGTGCATATCTATCCGCTGCATCAAACGCACCTTTGCTATCGAGGAAAACAACAACGGTGGGCCGCCACTATGTGTGACGGTGGTGCAACAGCTGACAAAAAGTGAAGATGTGGTCAATGTAGCCATGACTTCGACGAAACCCGGCTTGCACTTCACTAATATCGGTTTCACGAACGCTAGTCTGTCTGTGAAACGTGACAGAGGCAAGCAATTTGGAGGCGAGGTAGGTCAGACTGATTCCTCAATGGTTGCTGCATTCCGACCGTGAGCCTCCCTTGAAACTTGGGACTATGACTGAGCAGCTCCAATCGGTTGGGACAGTTTCCTGATCTAACATTTTCACCTGTAACTCGCAAAAACTATCCACAGGTGCAGGTCCCCCGAATTTGAAGAGGGCTAGAGGAAGTACATCAGGTCCCGCGGCTTTACTTAATATCAACAGTTCGATCTCACGTTTGACTTCTGAGCGCGATGGTAGATCTACAGGCACTGCCCAGGGAGCGGAGCGATCAGTAACCGGCGAGAAAGCTAATAATTCTAACCGATTAAATTGCCTTTCAAAGTGCTCAGGCCAACGCCCCGAGGGTTTTGACAAGTAGTGGCTAGGCTGTCCACTCTCTTCACGTATAGTTTCACTAACACCAGGTCTCCTGCTGCCCGTTTCCCGATGGTTACCAAGGGCAGCGTCCACTTCCATCTCTGCTGCACGATGAGACCACCAGAATTCGCGGTCTCTCTTCAGGCTAGCACGAAGTTTTGCCCCGACATCTTTGTGAGTTTCATTGTGTTCACTTCCAGCCGGAATATGCCGGCGAGCATCGATAAGTGCCTGAGACTGCGAAGAAACCCAATGTCCATGTCGGCAATTAAACTTACCACATGAAGATGCGCCTGCTGCTAGTAAGGACTGGTGAATATGAGACCAAAGAGCTTCACCTGCATCCAGTGAGTGCTTACTCAAATCGCATGACAGCGTATTTGATAGGCATTCAGAACAGCTGGTATCACCAGTTGGCTGGTGTCAATGCGCTAACAACGTCCTTTCAATGCGTCCGTCGAAGCGCATCCGCAGGTCAACACATAAAAGTGCAAGGTTGGTGTCCACACCTGTGCTCCAAATCGAGCGACAGTTCTGGACACAGCTTCTCCATCGGTAACTTATCGCAATGTGATCGATCTGCGTGCAAGGCTGGTTCGAGGCTGGTGGGCGCCAAGTCACCCTCCGGCGCGAGCTGTGTCGGAAATTAGTGCTCGCAGGAAATAAGCGAGCAGCTTCACACAAAGGAAGTACCCACTCACCGTTATCATTACGGGAGCCTACACCGTGTTGGTCGCCCAGATGCACTTTATCAGTGGATAACTTTCCAACTTGAGCGTTCAGATCCCCAGCCAGCGCAACGGAGTCCGAGGCTTTGAAGGCTTACACCAGCGTGATGACAATTAATTGAGTAGTGATAGGAAGCGGATTGGCTGCAACCCTGTTGGAAGGGAACCTTTGTAGG